AGAAATGACTAGACGGGAAATGGTTTTACACAGCTTCACGAGGATTTAGACCCCTCGGGTAAGAGATTTGAATGAGTATAAACTTTTATCAGAAGCCAGAGAAGTCATCTTACAGGTAGACAATGCAGCTCAGTTTGACAGCTAAGCACGCTCTGTTCTCCAGTGGCTCGATTGTCGTCATTGGACCACGTGACCACGTAGCTCATTAACTCCCAGGCCGAGCAAATAGGACGTTTTTTAAAGCCAAAAATTTACAAAATGAGCTTTTAATTTGTGTATTTGGATAAAGATATCGTTAGTTGGGCATGTTTTCTGAAGAATATGTTCCGTTCAGGCCATTCTGACGGCATGAAGCAAACCCTTTAAACTATTTAAACCACATCTGGTTTATACTTGGACCTATTTCTAATAACCTGAAGATTTGAAGAATTCAAAATGTACATATTTAATCAAAAAAAGCCAAATTGAAATTATGTTCACAGGAAAAGTAACCCAGCTGTTACCCAGTTTATGCAGAAGATGGGATATGGAACAGACTACTCAAAATTGGAGCAATACTATATGCAAAAGTGAGTTAACCAGGCACAAGATGAGTATAGACCGAAGGGAAAATTCTGCTTATTCTTCTTATATTTATTTCACTGCAGAAGCATAAAAACACTTGTCAGCAGTACTCAAAAGTTATAAAGATTACTTTATATAAGTACATTTGTAATACATCATACCATGCAAACCATGTAAGAAATTCAATTTTTGCAAGATGGCTCAAAGGTATACATATATTACAACAATTTAAAATTATACAAAAAAAAATTCTCTAAAAGTAGGTATAAGTAAGACACCATTTTGTCTTCTCTGACTGATAATTTGGATGAAATGATGTCCCTAGTTTATTAGATAAGCAAAACGATAATAGATGATTGTGATGATGATTTCTTACATTTCCAGCATCTTGAACATTGTGTCCTCGGACCAGGATGGGTATGTGATATGGCAGGAAGTAGTGGACAATGGAGTCAAGGTAGGATATATAGGATGTGTAGGATATATAGGATATGTAGGATATGTCACATCTGCCATCAGTCTACACATGCCACCAGTTAAAGTTTTTATCTTACATGCTATGATGTCTTTGTATGGAAAAAGTAAACTATCTTTAAAATATTTTGGCAAAATGAAATATTTGATTTGAAAGTGATGTAACTTTCATATTATTCTGTTTAATAAATGACAAAAATCTTTTAAAGATTAAATGTGGTGGCAGTTAAGTTAATTTTACTAGTAAAACACAGAGGCAGAGCAGACAGGTAAAACCATATGTGGAATCTATCTATATATTTGTTTGATTTAATTTAAGATTAGATTTATTTTTTATAAAAAAATTTAATCTAAATCAGACATCAATCAGGTCTCATCAGTAAAATGTTTTTAGCAGTTCTGATCAGATGTGAAGTCAAATGTTACCACAGTGGAAGGAAAAACATATATTTCAGTCATGTATCCAAATATGTAGTCGCATCCTTTTTAAAGGATAATAAAAAATTAAATAATTTTAATTAGAAGGCCATCTGATTTCAGCCATGCGTAAGAAGTTTATCTGTAACATTGAAGTGCATTAGCCCACCCTCCTCCCTCTCAAAAATTAAATGACCATCTTCTTGACATTTTAATTTTTCTTGTCTTTTTTTTTCCTTAGGCAGACATGTATCCTATGAAAGCCCTTTTGCTTAATTAGTATGTTAAACTTTACAAAATTACTATCTTCATTAAATATTGTGGTAATTGATGGATGCTTTTGATGTATGAATTGGTATGTGGTTAAAATTTTTTGTCATTAAATTAATTGAATTTTTTAGTCACTGGATGTAATCAGCATTATAATAGTTTTTCTTGATATTTAACTGAACACTCATCAGAAATTCAAATTTTGCTAAAATATTGAATTTTGATTTTGACCATAGAGAAAATGAATGCAATGATTAGTAAAATTTGACCAAGCTTCTCATTTGGTGAATGAGATGAGAGACAGGAAGATACAAAAAAATTAGTCTTCCTGAATAAATATTGGTATTTATTTGGTAGCTTGATTTAATAAGGGGATATAGTGTACTGGTAGTTACATGTGGTGATAATCTTTCAACTGTATTTGCCAAAAAAAAAAATAAAAATGAATGAAATTTCAGCTGAAAGATTGCTCTTTATGACTTAAAGAGCTTAGTGTGATAAATGTATGTGTGTGCATAGGTACGTCCTGATACAGTGGTGGAGGTATGGAAAGGGGGCTTCCAGGCTGAAATGAGTAAAGTGACTCAGATGGGACTTAGGACTATCTTGTCCTCACCCTGGTACCTTAACTATATATCCTATGGTCCTGACTGGCCCAAGTACTATATAAATGATCCGCACAATTTTAATGGTAAGTTAAACAGAGATTTGGATGGCAGGACTCTGGTGGCTGGCTTTCTGTCGGTGTTCTTTTAAAAAAGAAGTGATATTTTCACATTGTTGCTGAAAGTACTAAAAACCTTTCTTTTTTTTTTTTACTCCATACACCTTCTTTTTTTCAAAGGCAGGCAGCAGGTAATGGTTTAAGGTGTTAGAGATCAATAAATAAAAATGAAATCTACATGAAAATCGAGAAAAAAAATTATTTGCCAATATTTATAGTGGGTAGTTAACCTTTGGGTCAAGGCAGAGGTGGGTCATGGTCATGGTCAGGGCCTGAATGCTGTTTATATTTACCATATAGTCAACAAAGATAACCATCCTTAATATTGTCTTCTTGTAGTGATATGTGTGCATTTGAAACACTTGAGCATTTTTGGGCAACATGAAAATCTTGATTCTATGGAAGTTGTGTCATTAATATATTTCATTGAAGGATGTTTCTGGTTAACGTGGTGTTGAATTTGTGGTAAAGGTAATCAAAAAATCAGTGGATTAGCTTCTTTGGTGTTGTTTAAGGCAAAGGGCTGTTGGTTCTGCTGGGGTCTTTGTTAAGTTAGAGAAGTGATTGACCAGTATCTTAGGTAGAGGCCATAAAAAACTTCAAAAACCATTTGCAAAATGTGTGTTTTAGAGGATAGCGGGAACAGTTAGGAAAAGGAAAAAAAGTGTGTCAGATTGTAATTGAATATTACCAATGACAAAATCATAATTTTTAGATTTTACATGTAAAGAATTATTGAATATCATCTTTCTTTATGGCAGTGATAAATGGAAATGTGAGGTTTTATTCGGTTAATGTTTTCAAAATTGGTGATATTCAATGAATGAAAATATGAAGCATCTCACCACAATGTTTGTGCCAGTTTCTTTCAAAATTTAAGTCCCATTTTAATACACTTTCACCATTTCAAATATTTTTGCATATCATATTATCCATTACTGTATCAATAACAACAAAACGGGAGTAAAATTTCAGTCTTAAGTGAGCTGGGTATGGTAAATGTATACATGTGTGCTTAGGTACGTCCTGATACAGTGGTGGAGGTTTGGAAAGGTGGTTACCCTGCCGAAATGAGCAAAGTGACTCAAATAGGACTAAGGACTATCTTGGCCTCTCCTTGGTATCTTGATTACATATCCTATGGAACTGACTGGCCCAAGTACTATAGGCCAGACCCCCACAATTTTAATGGTAAGTTAAGATATTGCCCAGCAATACTCTCATGGGAAGGTTTCTGTAGGAATTGACTGAAAATTTAAAAAAAAATACTTTCACTCTTAGTGTGCCTCTCTCCCTTCTCTGAAGACTTGCAAGACTGTGGTTTAAGTTTTAATTGTTTGAATTATTTTTCAGATTATTATCTATAGTTTGGATTTTTCTTATCTGGAACAGTTTGGATGTTTTTGTTTGGTTTTAAACATCTACTAACAATGATACTTATACTCTGTGTTGGGGACTAATACATGTAATATACCAGTGTGCACTTTTACCAAAGCCACTTACAAAGACACTTACAAAGAGGAAGCAAACTAATATATACCCCATATATGCATAGAATTTAAAACATCAGGGAAGGAGAATGGAAATTGTCACATATTGCTGTTAAAAGTCCCTTTTTCAAATATTTTGCATTGTCATAAACTTTGAGTTTGAGTTCTCAACGAAAAAATATGAAAGCAATATTCCAGTTCATAGATAATAAAATGCTTGTCAGAAAGGTTTTTGCACACTTAACAAAACTGAAAAGAATGCATCTAGTTCACAAGTAGGCTTTTTTTTAGCAAACTGTTCATGCTGCGATTCTCACAAGTTGACCTGCTTTTTATGTGTTATTTAGCGTATCACAATGCTTTTTTCTTCACAGCTTCAACCCCATACTGCATTTTACCTAGCATTTTTTTAAAGAAAAGAGGATTCCCATTTCTCCTCCTCGTCTTACACAGAAGACAAAATGCAAAATGAAGGTGGTTTTACCATTGTTATTATCACCATTATCAGGCCCGTAGCCAGGGGGGGGTCGGGGGGTTTGAAAAAACCGCCCCTTTTGCTGGAAAAAGGTCCACTTTGGGTAAAGTTTGATCTAGGTACATGAAGTTTGTATGGGAAAAGGTCCACTTTTTCAAAAAAAAGAACCCCCCTTTTGAAATTTCTGGCTCCGGGCCTGACTGTCATTATTCTGGGCCTGTTTAGGTGAACCCTGATACTGTAGTAGAGGTATGGAAGGACAGGCACAATCCAGCCACCTACAAGGCAGAGTTGAGCAAAGTTACTGGACTGAATTTAAGGGCCCTTCTCTCTGCCTGCTGGTACCTAAATGATATCTCCTACGGTGTAGACTGGCCCAAATATTATGCATGTGACCCACACGACTTTCAGGGTAAGGACAGGGTTCATTGGATAAGAAGATTATACATTTTATTTCATGGAAGTGGATAATCTCTGTGAAATTTTGCCAATAATTGCAATTTTCTAGATTCAGAAAACAAATTGCTTGATAATCCTCATTGCCACAGTACAGTATGCTAATTTGAAACATGATATAGGTGGTTTAAATGATAAATTCTGTATATGATAACAAACATCTGATATCAGTTTGCCTCTTGGAAAGAAAATACCCTCACGATTATATGATGGCCTTTTTAGCTACTTTTGTTAACTTTGAAAAAAAAATGGGAAATAAAAGATAATCTTACCATTTGTTCTGAAGCTTGCACAAATACAAAACAGGAGAGCAAAGCTGTAAAAAAAAAGAAGAAAGAAAGAAAGAAAATAAAAATGTTCATTTCAAACTACCATACTTTTGGATTCTTTCAAGCTTATAATTTATCACCCATAAATCATTAATTCGCAAGATTTTCTTTTAACAGCTTCTTGAGTTCCTTATATGCATGTCATTTTCTCAGAAAGTCTAACACTCTGTTTTCAGTGCAAATTTGCATTACTTGGTATCTTATTTCAGTTGGTTCTCCAATTGCTATTTTCTAATGAATGTCAGTAACATATTTTTAATAAAATCATTGTGCTGGCTTGTGGAATTTTTTTTTCTTTACTTCTATGTTTGAGTTAACAACACTTACTATTAACCATCTATTATATAATTCATTCTTGGAATTCTAATTTCATCATTTCTAATGCCCGCCTTTCTTAGTTGTGAGAGAAATTCTTTGACACTTTTTTTTTACTATATGTAGTATTTTGTAGTTGGAGAAATAAGACACTCCATTACTATGGAGAGCCTTAAGTGTAAAAAGTTTGATTTGGATATACTAAAAATTGTGAGCTCATAACCACTACCTGAAGCTATTATAATGAGAGCATTGTAATGAAAAATCAGGGGGTCTGAAGGATAATGTTATGAAATTGCCTATTACCAGAGAAACATGTTGAATTGCATAATTGTTCCCTTTGACTGTTGTTTCTTATCTGTTTCCTAAAAAGCCACCAGTTTCTCTTTCTGCCATTTCTCTACTTTTTCTTATTTGTACTATAATCATTTCATATAGGAAATGTGTTTATATATACATTTGTTATATTATAAGATGTAATGCTTCTCTACACATTTTGATTTACATGTACTCATCCATAACTTGACTTGTATTTTATATTATTAATAATAAAGCTGCCATTTTTTTTGAAACAGTTAAATTAATAATTTTGCAGTTTGATAATTGACAATTCTCTTATACATTTCTGTCATCATCTGAGCAACATTGCCATTGCTATATTTCATTTTCAGTTATAATTTGAAGTATTCTTTTTTTTTTTTTTTTTTTTTTTTTTTGTAGGCACAGATGCTCAAAAGAAACTTGTTATTGGAGGTGAAGCATGTATGTGGGGAGAGTATGTAGATGGAACCAATCTCATATCTAGACTCTGGTAGGTACTTTTAGAAGCTGCAACTTATGCTGTTAAAGGCAATAATTTTAATAAAATTGTTGTGTTTGATGCATATTTTTTTGTCAACAGTGATTTTTTCAATCTCTGCTTTGAACTTTCTGAAAAGGCAAAGCTAGTATAAGTTTTGTACAGTACACTTTTGCTGTGTTCTAAAAACGTTAGTCCAATATTGAAATATTTATCCTCAGATGATTACAATAAAATCTCAATCAATTTTTTGATAAACAATAAACAGACACCATAGGTCATCAAGATAAGCCGTCACAGGCCAAGTATCAACATGGACCAATGTTACACATGTACATATATGTCTAGAGGAGTGATGCTAGTTATCAGAAAAGTACAATTTTTTAATTTTAAAGAAAGATGTGCCTGTAGTAAAAAGAGAAAAGTACACTGAAACATTGACATTATCAGAATAATCACTGATTTCATAATCATAACTTGATCCGGAATTTAGAAAGCTTCTTGTCATTATACATTTCCCTTGTCTTTTCAGGCCCAGAGCTTCTGCTGTAGCAGAGAGACTGTGGAGTCCCAAGCAATACAACAACACTGCAGAGGCCGCACCCCGTATTGAAGAACACAGGTGCAGGATGCTCAGGTTGGAGAGATTTGTCAATATCAAAGATTCAAATATATACAAATAAAAATGTTCTTTCTGTTCACCTCCATTTAATTATCTAGTATTAATAGTGAAAGCAAAATGTTTTAGCACATTAAGTCTTTTTGTTTAGCCATTTTCTGATTTCTAGTTTTTTGTCTCTGTAATTTCGCATATGGGCAGGAATGCAGTTAAGCTGCAAGGCAGGCTAAGAGCACACGCACGCATCACGCATGCTTGCTCATGTATGTTCACACACACACACAGTCATTACCCAATCTCTTATCAGTGTTTCTTGTAGTGGGCAGTACTTATGTATATATCAATGTTCCTCAATCATGCAGATTCTTGGCATCACAGATTTAAGTTTGTTTTGTATTGGAAAAAAACGCAGTGAACCCATTGCAAAGGATCGTTTTTCTAGTAGTTTGTTTTTTAGTACAGATGAAAGAAACATTTTAAAAATAATAAATATGTATAAAACATGTATAAAAGTAACTGTAAATTATAATGTTTTAAATGTTTCTTCTAGGAGAGGTTTGAATGCTGAACCTGCCAATGGTCCTGGGTTCTGCAAATACGAAATGCAAGTCAATTAGTCAGTAGCACCAGACCGATAATATCAAATAAGAGACAATTCACCACATTCCAGGGGGAAAAATTGATCAGCATTCTAAAACTTCTGAAGGACTATCAGCTTTTCTTAATAATGCTTAAAACATTATATAAGACCAGTAAGAAGATGCTATTATGAATGGTAGAAGCTGCTTTTACAATCTTTATTTGAAACCAAGTAACTGATTTTCAAGATAAATTTTCATTTGACACATATTAATGTGAAATTCCTCTTTATTATTAATTAAATTTAAATCATTTATGAAATCCTCCTTGTTATATTGAATAGGCATCTTTGTTATATTGTGAAGGAATATATTGTTTTTATTAAATTGTGTATGTGTAATGGAATTAATATATTAAATAATATATCTGAAATGTAAATGCTATTATTCGGAATAGTGCAAGGAGTTCCACTGCAGTTTTTCTTTTTCTATTTTGAGGTTTTCCTTCAAAATGTCTACAATTTATACCTATGTATGCTTTTTTAAAAGAGGAAGGAAAAAATCAAGAATGAAAGACATTAATCTTTAAACAAGTTATTTGAATTTTAGACAATTTATTCATTGACATACATAAGGCATCCTGTAAATGCTTTTATATGGTTACCAAACTAGTCATTGTCACCATAAGATGTAAAGAAACAGACATTGAGTAAATAATAATTTTTATTATTAATTAAATTATGTTGAAAATGCATTATGGTATGTTCCCATGTTACTTAGTGAGCAGGTAGAGGACATTGACCTACCTCAAGGTGACAATCAGCTTAACTTTTGTGTCACCACTTTCTTCTCAACAATTTATACATTTTTGAGTTAAGTTTCAAGCAGCTGAAGCATAAAAAGACCTATTTATATGTTGTAGACTCTATGAACAAGATTGGCTTTTTTACAGCAAGACAATCTTAACTGAAATTAGCATAATTATTGTAATATTTTGGCCTTGTATTAATATTGTTGTTTGAACAAACACCGTGTATGCGAATTACCATTATATGTAAAGATCAAGTTAGAACTAGATGCTTGCAGCTGGAGACATTTTTGCTTCATTCTATTAATTACATTCTGTCTGTACTTTTGTTAGCTTTACTGCCTAGTTGCTCTGAGAGCAGCAATTAAATTTGATGCAAACATTGATTCTTTACAAGCATTTTAACTTAGTACATGTACACAACATGTAGCTACATATGTATATATATATATATATATATATATATATATATATATATACATGTAATTTGCAAGAAATTAAGCTATGATGTTTACAAATATATGTATTAATTTGTTATAAGTACTTTAAATGAAGGAAATGGGACTCAATCATAACTTGTTAACGTACATTGTACACGTACCAGTATTAGTACAAGAACAGTTACATAATTGTAATACATGTATTAATTAATGCTGATCAATACAGAGTATCGTCATATACACTGAAAATTTGAATTTATCAACTGTCAGAAAGCCATTGTCTTCATATAATATACTGCAAACAAACAAAAAAAGAGTTGCTGTTTATTGTCATTATAAATTGACTCTCCCCACCCACCCACACATTGAACATATGGGGTTCGTGAAGACTTCTTTACATGATTCCAGGAGCAGCACAACGTATTTCAAAACTTGTATGGTTTTACTAAGTGGTTCATGAATTATGATTGTTTTTTATTATGTACATTGTGGTTTATTATTATTATTTTATTCCTCATCAAAGTGGTCAGTTTGTGCTGCGATCAATTTCAAAATCCCATTTGAACTTGGTTCTTGAGGTCTTCGTCTAAGCCGTCTGAGTGCCTCGGCTTAGGGCTGAACGCCTACCAACTGTTTCCAACGTTGAACTGAAGTTGAAAAGAATTCACTATTGATATATTGCTCTCCACTATACAATTGACTTAAAATTACATTTTTCTTCGACAGAGATAAATGCGTTTAGTGCGCTCAATCCACGACTGGCATTCCCCTACAAAACCCTATGTTTTGATCACGCTTGGGACGAGAGTTTACGAGACTTCCTGCTTTATTCTTTACTCCTGATTGAGAGGTCACTTTGTGTATACGCGTCGAAAATAGTGCCATATAATCAGCATTGCAGCATATGCACTTCCAATAATTTTTACTTAGTTTACACGACTGCAGAATAAATAGGCAAGGTTGTATCACACTGTATGTTTTGTTGGCCTAATTCCACTGAAAACTTATATTTAAGGTCAGACTGTGCGCACGAACATCAACTCTTGACCCCAGCAATAAATCCCATTCACCTAGTGAGTCGCAAGGCTTAGAAGAAAGAGAGTCGATTACTGCAAAGGCCCATCAGTGCATTATAGCACAGAATCACGGACCATTGGATACCCGCATTGTCTGTGCCAGAATCATCCTGAATGTCACACGGAATCAGCTGCAACACACATGGAGTGTATTCATTTGAGCGAAAATGTAAAAATCACAGCGCCCCCTATGAAAGACGAAAATCCACCGTGCCAGTTTCACTGTTCAGGTAGATGCCACAAAAGGGGTAGCTGCATCGCATTTGGTTTGCGATATGTCACCAAATTGAAATTCAGTTCCAAGACCGTCACTGTAGTGCGATGGAAAATATTTTGTGTAATGGCATTCAGAAAATGGGTGTAGCCAAGAGATCATGTGACTGATATTTAACAAGTTCGCCACTTTACAATTCCTGGGAGTCGATGGGAGCTCCATATGAAAAAAAAGTCTTTCTGTGAAGAAAGATTTAGTTACTTGAAAATGATGAAATTGTGTGTACAAATCTACTGCTTGAATATCCTACCTTGCATGCGTTTGTCCTGGATACTATATAATTTTGTGCATATGTTGGAGATATCGTTTTTCAACAGTCTTAATATGAATGACGTTAGGTCTGAATAGAATGATCTTGCATTAGTTTCTTGAGATCAGTGCTGTCTGAAAATATGGTAGGAAAATTGACACTGTGAGGTTGCTAGTACATACAATGTCAACTTCAAAATATCTTCAAGATTCCAGGCTATGAAGTGAATCTATTAGATAGAGAGCATTTGGATCTCACAAGGTCTACAAATGCTGTGGCAGTTCTTGGGTTGCACTGATGCCTCTGTAGAGAAAAAAGAAAATAATGGCTTTCTGCTATGTTTAGGTTTAAATATTGTCAAGGGATTACCAATTTATGACAGTGTTGTGTTGCCCATTTCCCTGTTCAAATCTCATGGATTTTTTGCTAGCTTGATATTGTTGGTCAGTAGCTGCATATGTGGGCAAACAACATCACATTCTCAAGTTGTGTAAGTCATGCTGTTTTGGCAGATGTCTGTAACAAATAACTAGCAAAAAAGTTTTATAGATGGCTTTTATGACAAAGGTGTGCAGGGAAAAAACATTCCAGTTAGATTCACAAGACATATGTGCTAAATTAACTCTTTCTGCCTCCTGAGGATAAATATATCCGTGTACTTGCCACATTCTGCATTGTTCCTCTGATCTTATTATTGTCTAAATTTGTATTTTACCTGCTCTGTTTCCCTTAAATATGTGATGTCAACTGTGGGAACAAGAAGCAATATTCTTATGTTGCATTGTGTAGCACCTTATGCACAGCTACTGCATAATTACTGCAACCATCTGTTATTTTGATGCCAAATGAAGCAGTCTAAAGAATACTTCAGAACAAATATCCTAGCCTAGGATGCCCGACCTGATCTTAAATAAGCCTCCTGGAAAATATTTTTGTTTAGTACTCTCTGCAAGATAACACTACAGCAGATTGATTGTAATATAGGCTTGCCAGTATTCCAGATGGAATAAGAATTATTCTTATCGGTGCACCCCCTCATAAAGTTTGTTTATAGTGGAAGAACCTTTTAAAAGTAGGTAGCTGTAATTACCTGGTCCCCCTGAAACTTCAGTGTTCGCACAAATTTTTAATTTTTGATGTTGAAAATGCAAGATCAAGTAAATTAATGGTTGTGAGTCATTGTCAAGGTTTTAAATACCAGGAATAATAATGAAGTGTCTGTTAGGTTCTGTATCATGGTTGGGATAATGAGAGGTATATATGATAGCAGATACATCAACTGTGGCCAGTCTTGATATTTACCGTCTCGCCTTGAATGACTCTTCGACCCCTATTATTATTATTGGTCTTTGCCAAGAAGGAGAGAAAATCAATACGGTGCTCTATAACAAGGAAACTGTTTGGATAATAGTTACATGAAAAATATTCTTTTGTAGTTTCCATTATTAGATAAATGAATAAGAATTTTAAAAAATAGATAATTTTTTTTTTTTTTTTTTTATATATATATAAAATGGACATTCTGTTTGAAGTCGTGTTTATTATGTTTCAGTATGTAAGACAAGCAAGAGTCCATGGCTTTGTTTGACATGTGGAGCGGTTCATTGTGGAAGGTAATAGGAAACCAGTCGTGTTTGATTAAAGGGATTGGTGCTCAGTATATTTAAACAAATCAATATGATAGATGCAATGTAGTGGATGATAATAATTGAAAAAAAAAATATCATTATAACAATGTGGCAAAAGAGCCTGACATTTTTCTCTGTTATAGGTAGTAGCAGGCATATTTAGCAGTAATAGGTTTACTCATTTTCTCTGATTTATATGTAAATGATGCATAGAAATATTTTCTCTTCTGTGCAAATTAGGAAATTTGATATGCTAATGAACCCAAGGTTAATAGCTTTTATTAAATTCAACATAGATGTTTTGTAGTATGAGAGGCTGCCCATGTAACATGAGCCTTTGAGAAAGGCCAAAAAAAATCAGAACTATTGATTTTCAAAAACTGCAATTGTCTTCACATTACCAGAATTAATGTAGATCTATGTATTTATTTTAACTCTTAAAAAGAAAAAAAATAGATTTAACATTGAATTTGCAGCATTGTTACAGATTTGTTGGTATTTTCAGATATGTCAATGCTCATGCCAAACTGCATTACGAGGAGCGACAGAAGCATTCAGTGTGTATGGACTGTGACAGTTATGCAGCCTTTTGGTAGGAACAGATGAAATATTCCAAGCAATCTGCACCTTGAAAAACCTTAGAATTCTTTTCATCTCTGATATCTTTTCTAGCAACACACTTTAGTAGCATTCAGCTTAGAAGGAACTGTCACATATAATTAAACCAAAGATGTAAATTTTTACTATTTATTTGTAATATTATTTAAGACTACAGGTCATGTAAAAAAAATGTATTCTTAAAGTGGTATTACACAAAAACACCAAACTTTAAAACATAATTTATTCTGTCCATAACAATATCCCCACTGCCACATTTGTACTCAGTTTTGCTTTGAATGCTCGTGTTTTTCAGCTATGCCTGTGATGAGTTTGTTATCAATGATACCGATTCAGGAGACCTAGACAAACTTAGGAAACATTTACGATCAGTAGCAAAGTAAGTTTGATTCACCATATGCATTAAACGTAAATTAAGATTAATCAGATAATATTCCCTTGTGCTTGGTAAATGGCTGTCTCAGGTGAGGGTTCTCAGCCCTTTGAGTTTGCCATTACGGAATTAAATGTATTAAAAATTGTCAATCGTATTCAGAATTAAAAAGCTCATTAAAAAGAAAGTAACTTTTGCCTCTGATATGGGGAGGACCACCTGCTGTGAGTGTTGACAGTGAGGTCCCATCCTTCCTTGAAGGTCATCTTCAGTTTTCAATTTTGTTTGTTTTTAAAAGATTAAGGAACTCGAGAATTCAAAATAATGCATGGCACTATGGGCCCAAAAGCTTTGCTAGGGAGCTTTTATAAACAAAGAAAGACATTGAAAAACATTAAGTAATTGAAATTTTATTTCGTGTTATATAGGAGATTTCAGTTTTATGTTGTAAGAATTGAACTATTTTAGGACAGTACAAGTAGCAGAAACTGGATTTTTGTTTATTTTTGTTTCATCTCCTAGGTTTCATACAGTGAAGAACAGGAGGCGTGATTCATTGGACTCGACAGAAAATGAAGGAAAAAAGAAAAAAATTAAAACAGTAAGAAACGTGCTTAAATGTAGGATGGTCATGAGTTATTTTGTCTAATGTATTTTTAGGAGTTGGAGAATAAAGGTAGTTTGTACATATTTCATATCAGTTTACAATTATGTGATAATAAATATAGCATAACCCAATATTACCAATGATTATTCTTTTACCTAAATTCTACTAAATATTAAACTGCCCAGTTTCAAGAAACAACACATGAATCCCTATCATTTTACTTTTAATACTTAAGTTTTTTACTTTTCAGGACACTGGTGCTAAAGCTATCAAACCTCGTACTTCAGGACTTAGAAACCTAGGAAATACGTGTTTTATGAACGCTGTGCTGCAGTCGCTTAGGTATAGATCATAGAATTTGAGAATATGTTTAGTGCATGCCATTTGAAGGTATAGGTTGTATTTAAACCCTGATATCCATTATAAACAAAATCAGCTTATCTTACAGTTTACACCTGGGTTTAATGGATCTGTTTAGTCTTGAATCAGTCTTGATTTCCTTGGGAGATACAACCCTAGCTGAGGCTTATTTGGTCGTGTTTATTTGTCATGAGGTATACTGAATTCAAGTGATGTATTGTGTTTCAGTAACATCCAGCAGTTCTGTGGCTACATAAAACAATTGCCATCTCTGGAAAAGAAGAAGCCTCGAGCAAATGTGACCAGGTATAGAAATGGACGAGATGATGACATGTACGTTTTTGAAGTAATTTATTTTGTAAAAGTTTTGTTCTCAACAGTTTTGAATTAATCTTTATAATATCAAAATGGTATTAGTATTATACAAAACAGATATTGTTTTTTTGCTACCAATGTAAAGGAGACTAAAAATAAGTTCATGGAAAACTGATATCAAATAGTAAACCTGACAGCAACTGTTATGCTGGTGCTTTTAGCTAAAATCAAGGTATTCCTGTGTCAGTTTGTTTTTTAACATGATCTGTTGATATTACTACTTTCCCACAAACATACTGCATACTGTGAATTATGAATGGAGTAAAAGATGATACTCAGTTTTCACATTTCTGTTTAACAGCTTGTCATTTTGCAGAATTGCATCATTAAATTTGTAAATGTGAAAACTGATACGTTGTTTAAATTACTAAGAACTGCATTGATTGTTCTTTTAATGCAGTTATGATGCAACCACTGTGCTGTGCATATGTGACAGCCTTTGCTGTTTAGTTTTGTAAGTCCATCTGACATGTACATTATTAATTTGCAATAGTAACTACTGACTTTTACATTTATTTTGCAGTTTGTTGGTAGAAGAACTAAGAAAAACACTGATACAACTGTGGCAAGGGAACAAGTCTGCAATCTCCCCAGAGTCACTTTTTTCTGTTATATGGAAAGTAGTGCCTAGATTTAGGTATGTTTGAAAGAAAGAATGAACATAAATTTTGTCAAATATTTGAAATGCATAGTAATTATGATGTACTTCTTATAGTTTAGTTTCAAGGCTTTTTATTGAATTTAGTGGGTTTATAATGTTCTCTCTTTTCTTCATTAATAATATAAACATTTATTTTCTTTGTAATTTCAGGGGTTATCAACAACAGGATGCTCATGAGTTTATGCGGTATTTATTGGACCGTTTACACACAGAGCTTTTGACTCTTCTCCCGTACCCTAATCCTTCCAGTCCATACATAGGACCAAAAGGAAAAAGTACAATTGTGACTGCCATCTTTGGTGGTCTACTTCAAAATGAAGTAAACTGTCTTATATGTGGAACAGATTCCAAGAAACATGACCCTTTCCTTGGTAAGGATGATCTGTTGGTGTGCCCCTCGGATGTTTTTTCACAAAAAAGGACATGAATTTTTTATTTGTTAATGTGTTAGAATGTTTGTATAGCAATCATCTATGTAAGATTTTGTGTTCATAGTTGTTTTATTCATTAGGAGACATTTCTTTAAAAACGTGGCATAAATTGATAAATTGGGCTGTGGTTTCCGCCATTCCAGATCTCTCTTTAGATATTCCTGATTGTAAGGAAGGACTTGTCAACTTGTCAGGTGGGTTTAGATAGTATACACAGCAGTAACATTTGACAGATACAAAGATATAGCAATAATACGTTAGAAACAATTATGATTTATTATTAGAAACTATTCTACACCTACATTTCAGTGCTGTGTACACGTTACATATTTGTGAATTAAATACTAAGTGAAAATGAAGATATTTGTGATTTGAATATTAAGTGAAAATGATATTTTATTTTAAAAAGAATCCAGATTTTGTCTGTTGGTGATAGTCTTTTGGTTATGTAAACAGTTTAGGTCAAAGTTAAAAGATTGGTTTTGAATTAGTTGATTACAGATGAATGGGTCTCCAATATGAACACTGTCTTAGAAAAAAGGTCCCGCAGAATGAAAATATATGTCCAATATCTACTAGATTTTAAGAAATGTGACAAAAATGTACTTTTTGCTTGATCAACAGCTGACCTTATTCTTTTAGTGTTATGATGCGTTGTCTTTTCAGAGTGCTTGTCCCACTTTACTGAGGTAGAAGAATTAGAGGAGTCAGAGCTGTACAATTGCGGCACTTGCAAACGGAAACAGCGGTCAACTAAACAATTCTGGATAAGACGCTTGCCAAATGTTAGTCACTGGTGTCTTTCTTGTTGCTCAAACTCTTTGGAGGGAAATTTGGTTTGGCATTAATAAGCTTAAAGGAAATAATTTAACACAGCATAAATGAAAATAATTGCCTAAGGCAAAAATTGGAAAAATTTTATGCATGATGTATAAGAGAAATTTCTAAGATTCAAGGGTTCTAATTTTCTGTCAAAATCCAGGTTGATGGTAACAACAAGGAGCAATGTCATTCGTAGCAAAACCTTTTTTTTTNCTTTGAAGTTCCATGGGCCTGAAGACCTTTGCTAGTCACATTTTCTGAATATCCATGATACTAATATTTTATTATTAAAAATTGATGGTCATTATGCTGTTAAAAATTATGTAATATTGCATCAAAATTTGAAAAAAACCTTATTTGGGCACTGCTCCCATGATGACCATTTAAGAAAAACCATGTCAATTACTGTTCTCAAACAGTACAGTAAATATATATAAATGTGTCTGTACATATTGCCATCACCTGCATCTGTCGTCGCAGTCATCTCATGGGCCTGAAGCCTTATGCTTGTTACACATTTTACTTACATTGGTATTACCTGTTGAGCATAATTAAAATTTGATGTTGAATTTGCAGTTTAACATAATGTACTTTAGCATCAGAATTGACAGTAGCCTATTTTGTGCTTAGTTATTTCCTGCTTTTTGTCTGTACATTTGACAGCTTTGCTGCCTTGTTTTTTTGATTAATTATATCAATTGCAAATCTCAGTTACATGTTTGTAATTGGTAATCTTGAATGAAGATTCTAATGCTTAAAGAGAATGAATTGCCTTGGAAAGCTAAATGAGGCAACACAAATGAACATCAGCAGAGTGACCTAGAAAACTGGTTTATATGTTTTACATATAGAGAAAAAGTGAAAAGTATTATATCTAAATATCCAAACATGGTCATAATGAGAAAAGTTTTACTCACTTTCTTAACTGTAAAAAATTTTCATCCATTCTGATGTACACTTATATTTATGTAGCTGAAATTTGGCTGAGCATTCAATGATTTCAGACTTAAATGTTTAAGAATCCATTCTTTTCTTTTCAGGTACTTTGTTTACATATTAAAAGATTTCGCTGGAGCTCGCACTATAGAGTGAAACTAGAAACTTTGGTCAATTTTCCTATACATGGTCTGGACATGAATGAATATGTGCTTAATAACATGGTGAGATTTGGTTCTCTTGTACATAAAAATATGAAGACACAACACTATGTTCACAGATTCACAATGATTTACTAAACCAGTGTTTTTGATTTAACGCAGACATGGGGAAACTGCCTGTCCAACAGGTCATGACCACTTGTAATGTCATATGACCTGCAAGATTTCTGGTATGGCAGGTCTTCTGGACTGGCAAGATTTTTGTACATAAAAATAAATCACTTGTGAACACAGAGTAATGGAAATAAATTACCGAGTTTGGACGAGCACAAAAATAGGAGGGAGTGCAGATTTCTTGTAGTGCAGATCCTCTGGACCTGCAGTATGTCCAGTTTTCCCCATGTATGCTATACGTAACTTTGTTATCACAGATAAGCAGTGGCAAAATTTCCCTCGCATTCATGGGTAAAAATAAAAGTGATGTTATACTTAGTCAGTTTCCTTCTGGCATAAGTGTAACATTAATATACACATGCTCAGTTGTGTTCAATCTACGAAACAAATTTGCAACAGTATGGTCATTTTGAAAATGGATTTTGTTTTTGTACTACATTTAGTAATATAAATTAAATTTATTTCAGCATGAAACGAGGAACAGCTGCTCTGGTAGTAATCTGTATGATCTAGCTGCTGTAGTTGTTCATCATGGATCAGGGTAAGACATTGTTTTTGTGTGTGTATTTCATTGTTCTCTTGTAATTTCTGTGCTTATATTTACAGCTGCTTAAGTAGTAATTGGTTAACTTTAATGATTTCTTCTCCATTTAAATATAATCTGTTTGGATTGGATTGAAATATTCAATTTTGTTTTTCATATATTCAGTAAGATTTTCTTTAAATTGTCAAAACCATAACATACTATGTCTAGTTGAAACAGGTTCACCTAACACTGATATCTGAAGTAAGGGATTTGTATTCTGTTCCAGGGCTGGTTCCGGCCACTACACTGCCTATGCTTACCACGATTCTCGTTGGTACCACTTCAATGACAGTAACGTATCTGTGTGTGAGGAGGAGACTGTGGCCAAATGTAAGGCATACATACTGTTCTATGTGCGCCGAGAACTCAAATTACCCGACTTCTTGGTGAACATTGGGAGCAATGGCGAGGAGACGACAAAAGAAGATCAGTAGAATAGCCTAATTGGAATGGGCTGTTTTTACACACAGATTTATGTGTGGCCACAAATGTTCACGATGCTAGATGGAACCCTGTCACTTTCTCGGTAATGTTTGCATGAAAATGTTATACACAGAAAAACTGTATCGGCTGGAATAACTATAGAGAATATCATGATAACTCATGATTTGACATGTTAAAGTTACTTCAAACACACTTAATTATTAATCATCGTTGTTAACTTTTTTTTTTTCAAAAACTAATGCCAGGACTTGAACCAGCCCGTAACATATTGCCTGGCCTGTTACAGGTGTGCAGGTCTGCTTCATTCACTATACTAAGTCTAGTATCAGTATCCGCCAACATTCCATTTAGTTTCATATACATTGAACATGCATGTGATTCATTGTTTGCCAACTGCATTGTCTGCATTTGTATTTAAAACCTCAGAAGCAGGCAGTGTTGTGCTTCACATTTCTTTCAGTTTTGCATGGTATTTATGGTTTTGTACGTCAGATTCCTAAGTTTTTTAGGGTACGTAAATGTTTACAGAACATTGTCACAATGATGAAGTAGAAAAAAATCAGGGATACTTAAGTTTAAGCTATTGTGCAGTACAAGTTCAAAAGTAATCAACAGTTTAAAGATCAAGAAATAAATATTTCTAAAGCTGTCTCAGAAAATGTTCCTATTATGTCTGAATACACTGCCTAATAACCTCTCCTGCAACAAAGCATATTGGGTGGGGGGAGGTGCAGATATGTTTTCACCTTGTGAAATCTAATACATGGCTCATACAGACCTTAGGGGCAAATTTGCAGTTTACCAAATTAATATACTCCTTTTCTGTAGAGTGTAAAGATTTGTAAACGATCACAAAAAAAAAGTTCCTTAAAACAAATGATATAGTTACATATTTAAATACATTTATTCATAATGATTGTATAGGGCAACTTACTCTGTTATATAAGTTGGCATTGCATAGAAAAATATTAACCACATACATAAGACAAAAATGATGTCTTGGTAAAATAACACTGATATATATATATAT